TTGGACAATACAGTCTCCTTCCGTATCCAGATCCAGGACACGGACATGCCACCAGAACAACTTCTTCAAGATGGTTGCTTGAAACCTTCACGGACAGTGATTGGTCGGGAGCCAAAGGGCATAGAAGGTCAACCTCAGCAGCGGTGCACATGGTGAATGGCAACGTTGTCTTGGCAAGCTCGAGAGGCCAGAAATCAGTTTCCCTGAGTTCTGCTGAAGCAGAGCTAAATGCTCTTGTGAGTGGAGCAGCCGACGGAATCTACCTGAGAAGGTGCTTGGAGTTTCTCATGGAGGAGAAGGTGGTGCACCATTGTTTGGTAGACAACTCCGCAGCATTGCATTTGTGTCACAGGAAAGGCCCCGGCAAACTCCGACACATTGCTGGCAAATTGTTGTGGATTCAGGACATGGTTGCGCAGGGAGATCTTGAGGTCAAGGCTGTAGGAACAGTTGCCAATGTCGCCGACCTAGGCACCAAGCCGCTAGCCAAAGCAAGGGTGAACCTCATCCTGCATTGGTGCCAGATCTACAATGGAGGTGGAGAGCGAATTGGACAAGAAGAGCAGCAACGACTTGAAGAGAGCAGTGTGAGTCGTAGCAAGATCCAGAGGCTTGCAAAGTTGCTCAATAGAATCCTACTGTTGGAAGGCCTTGAGCATGTGGCTGGTGAGAGAGTGAGCATGGAGGAGAAGATCACCGTGACCAACCACACTCAGTGGCTATGGGCCTTCATTGTGGTCTTGATGATGGTGATTGCCGTGTTGATCTTCGGCATTTACCAGCTCTGGAAGAGGCTTGAGAGAATGGAGACAAGACTTCAACAAGTAGTTGATGATGTGAAGGTTGACGGCGTGATGGTGGGAGCCTATGGCCATGAGACAAAGGAAGCAATAGCTCAGGTGAAGAAGTATGTGGAGAAAGTACATCGAGGCTTGATCAAAGCTTCAGGTTACGTTGACGATGATGAAGTCTTGATGGAAGACTGGAGGCATTGGGACTACCTCCAGGACACCAATAAGGAGTTCGACATGAGGAGGCTTGACAAACAGATCAAAGATTACCTTCAGAGAAATGTTGAGCAGACACGTCGACACCTGAACATCCGCGACAACACCTTGAGAGATGAAGAAAGTGAAGAAGGAGAACATGATCCAGATGACCTAGTACAAGTCAGGCTAGAATCTGGAGAAGTGGTGACAGTGAGAGCAGGTGAGCTTCAACCTCGAGAACCAGAAAGTGAAGATGAAGGACCGGCGCCTATGGAGACAGAGCCAGAAAGGGTACCAGATCGAACAGGGGAAGCGCGTGGCAGCGGCAGCAGAGACCTGGAGTTTGAGGATTTGACCTTGTCAGCACCGACAACGAGGTGGCTCACAGATGCAGAACTGCATGAAGTGAGCGAGTATGACAAGCCAGCCGCTAGGCCCTGTTTGAGAGCCAAGCAGTATTCCCTTCAGTTCGAGAAGCGATGGTTCGAGCTCAACCAAAGGAATGAACATGAATCCAAGATGGAAATGTATGCTCGGATGGAACGCCACATGAGCTTCCTAGATAGCGAAGCAGTTCCTTTCTAGAAATGGTGAAGACGAGCACATACTTTTGACTCGCATCACCAAGGAGGAGTACGTAAAGAAAGCTACTCCGTTCATGACAGACATGTACAGGTTTTCGTACTGAGGCCTCGCAATATATATATATATATGGAACTATGTTCTGCACATGTTTTGATTCTGCTTTTCTATCCGAATCAAGCGAACCGAGGTCTATGTCGCGGCCATGTTGATGATGTTTGGTGCGTCTATTCATGCCAAAGATTTCTGGGGCCGCACAGCTTTGTACTATGCTCAGCGACAGAAGGATGATGGTATGCTGAAGGCCTCTCCCTGTCCCCCTATTCTTTTGATTTACAGTAGACTTTTGGCCTAGCTTTCCGGCTGCGTTCATTTTCCAATTGTTCTTCTCCGACTGCTCGAAGCGGGCGGAAACAGCATCCATGAAACGACCAACAAATCTGGGGCAATGATATTCCCCTGTCTGCAGCGCAATACATCCCAAGAACCAACACCCAACCTCGTCATGGGGAACAACTTCAGCCTTCACAGTCACAATGAAGCCTAAGTCATGAACGACTTTGCGGGTTTTTGCATCATACATTCGCCGTTTCCCATGTCAGACAGTTGCGGGGTGTGGGCCAGTTTCATGGCTGCCAACCTAAAATAGAAGAGAAACCTGTTTCCCTCTGGTGGAGTTGGAGGCTCCGTAAACTCAGCCGTCCCATTCGCCACCGAATCCTGGGTGTGTTCGCACCAGGCCTTTGAGAAGTACTTGAAGTATCAGCTCGTCTATGACGCGGGTGTCATGCAAAAGGCACCCTCTTCCCAACCCACGGCGTTGAGGTCCTTTTGACCCAGGACCCGCTCGTCCAGGCGGGCAGGTTCGGTGACGTCGTGCCGCCACTCATGTCACTCTGACAACGGTAGGATATGACACCTGTGTGGCAGTGTGGTAAGAGGACCTCCTTGTAAATAGAACCGACACACAGGGGTATGTAGGAGGGTGTCGCCCTTTTTCAGCACCAAACACCGCGGGTTGACCGTGCATGAGACTCGTTGCTGTGCTCGCTCCGCCGAGCAGGTTTCTTCGACGAGCACGCAGTGGATGAGACTCAGACGGGGTCTTAGTGATGTCCAGCAGCCTGTTGCCGTGGAGAGGATGTTTCAACCAGTTGAGTCGGGCCATGGTTTCGAGGTCAGTCTTGGACTGGCCGACGTTTCGACGACCCTCTTTCCGTAGCTAAAGTATCTCGTACACATGTGGAACATGTTTCGGAAAGATCGTTCTTGTCTTTTGTTAGCTCCTGGACTTTGCTTTGGGTCTGCCAGCAGTCCAGGGCTCAGTGTCATGGCAACCGGGCAACCAAAAACGAACCCTTGATCAAATGCTAGGAAGACTTTCAAGGCCCCGCAAAGGTGGAGGATGAGGGCCACTGCGAGGCCTCGCTCCTTTTGTCCATTTGCGCTCTCCAAACTTCCAGCCAAGCCAATGCGCAAGCGTCCCCTCTATCATTTGAAGAAGGAAGCCAAGCCATAGCCTCCAGCCATCCTTCCAGCTTTTTGAACATCCCATCCAAAGGTCAAAGGATTTTGAACACTCATGTGCACACGCACACACACCACACCAAGTACAGTGTACATTACGGCAGACATTCTTGCTTGGCTTGCTCCTGAGGAATGTGCTGCGAAAAAGTAAAAACACACCACATACTGAAAGTATCTGAAAGTGTTCGACACTTGTTTCCGCCAACTTGGGCCAAGTTAGTGGTAGACCCATAGTCCCTAACTTGGGCCATGTAGTCCCAAGTGGAGCCGAACTTGAGCCGCCTCGGGCAGTTGCCCCAAGATAACCACATGCTCCCAAGATGAACTGAACTGAACTACTTTCCTGCCATTGAGTTGAACTTGCGCCAAGTTGGGATCAGCTAAGGGTCAAATTGGGGCCGACCCCAAGATGGGGCCATGTTCCGAAGATATTGCCCCGAATCTTCCAGCTGCTTTTTCAGGCCGGTGACTTCCAAAAATTTTCCCTGGCCCAGCCAACTGAGCATTACGCGACGTGCTAGTGGGCCGGTATGTTCCAGTACTGTTTCCGCGAAGAACTGCATATTCCTTAAGCTTCCGGTCATTTTCCTTTCAAACTCTATCCGGACCCTCACATCTCAAAAAACAACAAACATCCCAGCTATTTCCAAGCTCTGTACAGTACATGCTGTCAGGTGAAAACCGAAAACCAAAAACCCAAGCCACACCTTTGCCCGACACTGGTGCCACCTTCGATCTGATGGTTGGCCTAGCCTCCCACGGCGACCTGGCTAGAGCTAGCGCGCTGAAAAAGGCGCGGCCTTCTCGGCCCTGGCACACCCGGAGATATCAAGGTTTCCAATCCAAGGGGAGATATGGCCGGAAAGGATGCAGGGTCTTTGCATGTTGAATCTTTGGTTCGGAGCTAAAGCAAGACGAGTCTTGGAACATAAGAGAAGGGTTGGACACATAGTCTAGTCAACTGATCGCGTTCCTACCTTTTTGAAGTGACATTCCTTTCGACCTGGGTTTGCCAAGAGCCGCAGTGTTGCACTGTGCAGATACGAGATCTGATTTGGGGTCAACAATGAACCAGAATTCCAGTCAAATGGTATTTTGCCGAAATAATGCTGCACAAACTTCCCACCCCAAGCTGGATCTCATCTCCTGGCAGGATTCGTTCCACAGTTTCAAGCCTGCCCAACCATCCACGTGCAGCGCGCGCGGATACTACATCACTGGTTCCATGCAGGTCAGGAATTCCGATTCTGCCTCGGCCTGCATCTCCGAGCCAGTGGTGGCCCAAACTAATCGATACCAAAATCCAGGTTGATGTGATTGTTGAACCCGCCTCATATGAAATAGGTACATCGAACTCATGGAACCTTAAAGGCATTGTGTTAGACATTTGGTGATTGCCGCCCCCGGAGTGGAATCGATTTTAGCAGACATTCACTTGCCTTGGTTTCCTTCCAGGCTTCGAGCGGTTTTGGCCGTTCCGAACTTGGATGGCAGCACCTTCGGCCCCATGATGTGCCGTTGTTTCCATGCCACATGCAACCATGCCATGTAAGATACATGGTCATGGCGTTTCTGCTTGTGTCCAAAAAGTTCTCATAGCTTGGCTATCCATGGATCAGGCTCGTGTCAACATCTCAAGTACCAGAGGATACCAGAGGTATGCTAGGTCCTACCTGCAGTCCACCAAGGGTTGAGCTCTGCTGTGATAACGTGAGCAATGAAAGAGGTGCACAGAAGCACTCTTTGTGTGTTGCCTTTTTGTTGGTTTCCCTTGCTTCTTGGACGGTCGAGAATTCCTCCAAGCAGTTGCACCAAAAACTGGCCGTCGTCCGAAACCTGGTCCCTGACCGCCTCTGTTCCGCGTTGGTCCGCCTCGTTTCCGCGGAGGGCTCCGTTCGCTGCAGAACTTGCTCGCAGACCGTAGAAGCGAAACGCCGTTGGTTTTCGCCGTTCTCGCCATGGCGGATGCTCTCAGCAGCCTGGGCAAGGCCATGTTTGATGATGTGCCCTGGGAAGCACTGGAGATGGGAAATGGGATGGTGGAAGGATGGTGATGGGGAAGTGCTTGTAGGAGTGACGGTCGGAAGTGCAAGCACTGGTTTTTGGATTCAGCCATTTTTTGTGACGTCTCACAGGTCTGACGGGTTGCAAAGATCGCCTTCCTGCAGCACTATTATGCCAAACTCCAGAAACCACTGAACCTTCAGGCTCTCTGGGTGTAACGATCTGACCAGAAACCGGCGTTTTCACCTCCTTTTGGTCATGGAGAAAGGTGGACCCCACGGATCTCCAGACATCTGCACGTTTCGGAAGAACCTGAAACCCAAACATCCGGTTCATCCGGTGGCTCATCGCCGAAGTTCGCAGTTGTCTACGGTATACACATGATCGATGTGTTGAACGGAGACGATAATGGCATATCCCAGCGACAATCCCAGATCTTTCCCTGCGATGGCCAAGGACAGAACAGATTTCGGATCCACTTGGTGTCCACCATCAGTTTTCATGGGCCTTCCACACTCAACCTGCACTTGGGGCAGTTGGTGTGTGCAGACCAATCAGAAACCACTACCATGGGGACCACATCAGGGGAATATACAGTACTATAAATATGCAAATAATATATATATAATATATAATATAATCTTGAAAGATGACGACATGGTTTTTGAACTGCCATACCGATCCCACAGTTTGTGCGAGCACATCTTCCACTTCACCAATTTCGCGCATGTTCAGCATGTTCACACCCAAAGCATCACCTTGTCGCGGTATCCCGATGTCCCTCCCCACTCCTCTCCCAGGCGGTGATGGCACAGAAGTTGCCCTCCGCGGTGCTGCAACGCTTCAACGAGCCGCCCGGGCCGGCGCTGAACGCGGGCGGGCGGTGCCGGTCACCGGGTGGGTCTGGTGGAACTCGAAGCGATGGCATGTCATGCGGCTTCTATTGCATTGTATGAAACGAGTTTTCAGAGAAACGCTCGGGTTTTGCATTGTATGGACATACTAGCTGCTGAAACCTGTTGAAACTGTGTTCACCCAGGTCCAAAACACGGCACGTCAGCGGCAACGAAAACGATCACAAAACAAAGGATCCAGGAATCCAGGACTTAAAGTTTGTCCACCTTGAAGGGGATCTGTGCAGAAGAAAACATCTACACTCCATGGTCCACCTTACATTCAATGCTGCTGGAGCCTACCGCAACATACATGCCGGAGCGCACAACACTAGAAAGACAAAGTGGGAGGTAGGCCCCCTTTCTCTCAACCTCAGATCGTTCTGCTTTCTTTCCGTTGTTGGGGGAATGCATAGTTGGCAGGGAGTGATTAGGCTTAGACTGCGGCGGTCTTCCACGAAACCAGATCAAGCTCTTGGCATCTATGGGGATCCTCATGCTCCGTCCCACGCCGAGGTGTCTCATCACTGGCGACCCCACGCCGGAGGAGGACCAGAAGGTGCCCTGGGAGAGCATCGTTTCCTTCGGTTCGGTTCAAGGAAAAGACGCATCTACAAAGAAGCTTGGAGGAGTGTTGGAAGACAACGAAGACATGTATAGTGTCATTTGGTCTGGTATGTTTTTTGAAATAGCATGCTAGTGCTAGTGTGTAAAGAGGATTATGTGAGAGTTCATTAGTGCTCTGACAGCTCGGAAGAAACTCCACTGCTCTTCCGGTATCGTACTTTGCGTTGTCCCTTCTTAGCTTGGGGGGTGGAAGGCAAACCCATGCCAATCCCAAAATCACCCCTACTTCCAGCTGCTGTTCTTTTGTTCCTCATTCAGATGCGCCCTCGAATCCAATGTGTCCAGTCTGTCCGGACTCATCTCTCAGACCATCAAGTCAGGACTAGCCGTGCCCTGGGGTGGCCGTGCCCTGGGGTGGCCGTGCCCTGGTTGCCCATTTTGTGTGTTAGCCACAGTCCTCCCGATTTTGATCCACACCCATGGGGGCTGCCATGATCACTGTCCAGGTCATTGCAGATGCGATTTTCACGTGGGCTCGCGAGCTGCTCGATTTGGAGGGCTGAGTTTCCCTGGGTAGATTTCCACTCCAGCTCGGAGCCTGTTTGAGCTAGAAACGATGTTTCTTTTATTGATAAAGGAGCCAGTGCTTGCCGTTTTGTTTGATCGCCAGTATTGGTCAGCTTGTTTGATTTGCCACGTCATCCAGTCGTATTTGTTTGTTGGATCACCCGTGGTACTCAGAAAAACAAACTGTGAGAACTGTTCTTCACACCGAAGGCTTGGGGCTTTTGTTTGGTTCCAAATGCAAGGATGATGATGGATGTGCTCACATCGGAAAGCTTCTGAAAGCTTCTTCCTTTCACAGCAATGGGCTTCATTTGCCGTTGAGCTTTCAAGGTCTTTGGACGTATCAGGCGCTCGTAGGCCTGGCTGACTGATGCGACTCGTAGGGGATGAGGATGATCCAAAGGACTCAGGTGGCTGGATCCAAAGGACTCATTCCTCTTGTGGGCGACACTTTCCTCATTCCTTACGAGTTGCACGGGTGTCGAGGTCTCCGTGTTTTCCTCCCCCCTTCGTCCGGTCCACGCTGCTTGAGGCTGGGAGCCATTGACTTTGCCCACTGGTTCTTCCCCCTGCGCGGTGGCTGTGGTGCCGTCGGTGGCATGTTGGGCGCCTTCAAGCGCGACACCTTGATCGAGCCTGGGCAGCGGCGGAGAGGCAGTACATACAGAAGGGGGTACTCTCTGGTGTAGGCCGTTTCTAGGGTTCTGGCGCTTCTGGTATGTTCTGGTTTAGGAGGCGTCGTGGTGTCTGCCAGGTTCTTGACCTGGAGACCTGCACGACTTTTTGGGGCTGGAGAAAGAACGCGAGATGAACTCTGACCGCGAGCTTGGAAATGAGGGGCATAAGTCAAATTCATGCTGCGGTCAAAGGAAGACATGGGTTTGTCTTAGCATAAGGACAGCTATGCAGGAAGAAATGGGAACAGACACCTTGACTAAAGCCTGCTGGATACTTCCCCATTCTCATACCTGGGCAAATAGCACCAACATGCACCAGCTGGAGGCTCCTCAAATGTGCAAAACAAGTGGTGAGTTTAATTTCCAACTTCAGGTCTCACGGCGCCAGATTTCTTCCTTCAACGGTTCTTTCATAAAACCGTGCTGGCTTGGGGAAATGCCTGTCCCGTGGTTCCTATGCGACTGGATGGTTTGGACGTGTCAATTGACACTGATGCATTGACCAACAGATGCTGCTTTTCAGGTTATTCAGCTTACATCACCCCACTGTCCCATGCCGTTCCGACCTTGTTTGGGCCACTGTTTCAACATAACATAGGCCGTTTTTCCTTTTTGAGATTTATTATCCCAAGAGAAGACAGATGGCCCTTTGTCCAACCAAGTGCTTTCCGCAAGCCAACCTGATCTCGTTCCTTTCCTGCAAAGACCCTATGAAGACACTTACATTCCCAGGAAGTTCTTTGCTTCGTTTGCTCCAATTCGATCCGGTAATTGGGATGCTGAAACATGGGAGTTGTTGGTCACCTGAAGTGAATCACAAGCTTGGACAAGTCTGCAGACCCCAGCCGTTCAGGACTTGGAGTTTGGATCGAAGTTTGTCACCAAACCCATGAAGGACCGAGACTTCGTCCCGAGTTCGAGACTTCGTCCGTCGGTCAGGTCGCATCCAAGAGGGTCAGGTCGGCCAATGAAATGGGTCGTTGTGTTGGCCGAAAGGACTCGGTTTCGGATAGACATTAGTAGCTTCTTGTTACTAGTAGCTACTTGCTCCTATTAGTACGGCCAGGAGCCCTTAGTAGCGTCCTTGCTCCTAGTAGCGATGCCCTTTGCTACTAGAAGTTGCATGAAATTGCTGAAAGGTTGCAGTAATTACCGGCATAGGCTAGCCGCTAGCCAACATCCAGAGTAAATAACTCACTAGCCTCGCACCATATTTTCAACGTTTTTCCGGAGGATGAAGCTGAGAATGTGATTTCCTTAGTGGCTGCTAGGGTCGACCACCAGGAATCTGCGGGTCGACGTCGACCACCAGGAGTTCCTGGGAACCGCAAACATTCTTTTTCCGTGTCGAAAGACGTACATCGAACCACCGCCCCCTGTCCTGAAGATTCAGGGCTGCTGTTGGTCCGCACAAACTCCATACTTGGCATTTTGGACAATCGTATCGTGTCCACTCTCTAACGTTGCTTCGTCCTCCCATATTTCTAAATTTCCATAAATTTCTATACGATCAATGCCCGGGACCCGCGTCACGGACTCCTGAATCAGCGAGTGACCGTCCGTCCGTGAGTTCTCGCTCGACCCACGAGCGTCACACGAGGCCTGCCTGCCACATGAGCGTCTCTTTCAGGGAGAGACGGATGGCAGCCCCTTGGCACCGGCTTTGAGGTGCTGACCGCCTCCACCCCTGGTGTGGCTGACAACACGGGAGACCAAGAACCTTCTGGACAGACCTCATCAGTTGAAGAAAGCTGAGAGGCGAACCCAGAACTATCCAAATCCCCTGCGTGTCTTGCAGCACTCCCTCTGCCAACAAGTGGGCACAGTATGGAAGTAGATTCTCAAGCAGAGCACATCTGGATTCCATCCAGATCACTAAAAACCAAGTGCCTCCCAAACGCGCTGCACGTGGGCGCGCTCCGCAGACCCACTCCCTAAACGTCGGGTCTCCCTTCCGAGGCTCCTTCCCCAACGGCGGACTGCGGGTCACTCACTCGGCCGCAGCCTTCACCACCTGGGATCGCGCCTCGCCACCCTTTGCCGCTCAGAAACCAAGCAGGAAAGGGATGGGGCAAGTGACAGGTGAAGGGAAGGGGGGAAGGACTCTCTCTCTCTCTATATATATATACAGATTGTATGCATATAGCAATATAGATAATGATGAGCTTCCTCTAGCCAAATTTCTTTGTTTTCTCGCTGGGATGGATGCGATCGGAGGGCTTCCGGTCGACCGCTGAGCGCTTCCACCGTGGTTTGTGAAGAATACAGGGCGAGGAGCACTGGATGTGAAGTGTGAAGCTGGCTGGGCCTTAAGATGGGAGCCACCTCAAAGGCAAGCGCATGCAACCCCTCACTTCTACGACACAAACCCAGGGGCGGTGAAGAAATAAAGGGTCCCTAAACATCTAGTCCCTTTGCCAACTGCAGGGTGTTGATAGACAGATGCGCATAGAAACATGTTGCTAGGCAGCGAGAATGCCAGTAAAAAACACAGGGGGACACCACACAAAGCAACATGGACCGTTTTAAATGAAGTAGCCACAACATCGCAGCACATCAAATTCTATTTGAGATGGATCTATCTGAGAATCTTGCCATGGTTGACGTATGTCTGATCTATGAGTGCTTCTTAGGCCTTGATCAGCCCAGGTCACGGACAAGTGCCTCTACATCCCCTGTGCCTCTCGAGCCTGCGAAGTGGGGAAGGCCCTGGAAGTTGGGGTCGATGGAGCCTGCACCAGACTCGATTCGAGGTCCCAAAATGCTGGAACAGCTTGGCAGGAAGGCTCAAATCACATCAAATTGAAACAACCGATTTCTGTTCCAAACCTGGGAACGAAAAGCCGCGGAGCCCGTTCAGCGGATTCGGGCGCCAGACAGCCTAAAAACCGCCACCACTGATGATTGGGCCGATCTTCCGCACTTCTTTTGTTCATCTTCCGCTTTAAGCGCAGTGAGTCTGCGAAAAAGGACACCCCTATTGATCTTCCGCCTTCAAGATAGCCTATCTGACCAGTCTTACTTCGTCCCAACACTGCCTCATTGGATTCATCCTCCTAGCTTACACACCAAGGTGAACTTCTCTGCCATCCTCCCAACCCCATGCCTGCGATCCATCTTTTGCCCGGCCGTCTTTCGGCGGCCACCGCTACGCCGAATCCCAAGGCGTTCGTGACGCACTTTGGGAAGTGCATCGACGAGAAGACGCCCCTCTTGCGCTCCATGGATGCGGTGAAGACGTCGGGTCTTCGACTCTTGAAGGCGATCAACATCGGTGCCTCGGTGCATCGGGTCTTCCACGTGGGACACCGGAAGTGATTTTTTCGTTTTTTTGGGGGACGGAGTGTTTTGGAGGATCTTGATGTGCGGTCAAGAGCTAGAGTTGTCCATAGTCGTTTGATTTTGTGATCATTGGACACCATATTCTAAACACATCCTTGGTATTTAGCTTTCAAAGCAAAGGGTTTGTTCATTTCCTTTAAGGGCAGGCCTTTGCGCACAGTGTTTTGCCTTAGATCAAAGCAAATTAGGCGGAAAGCTCGCTTGGATCTGAAAGAAGCTTGCTCGCTTCTAGGAGCGACTTTCATTGCGACTCCTCAGAGCCAGTTTTTTTTCTTCGTACACTCCCTGGAACTAACATGGAAGTGGAAAACCCATGAAACCTCCTGTTTGTAGAGGAAAATTGTCTTCCAAGGGGCCATTTTCCACTTCCATGTTAGTTCTAGTACTAGCGAGTGTAGCTCACGGACGTTTTTCCTCGAACCTGGTGTGTGCGGTGAGTTTGGAACGAGATGACGACCTGTGTAGGGAATGAAGCAAAGAACAATAGCAGGACGGAGGATCGATTTGGTTGCCCCGACCACACATGAGGAAATTCCGACAAGATCAAACATACTACTTCTCGCCAACTGTTGCTGGGGGGTCACTGTATCCAAAGGATTCCTTGATTCGTCGCAGAAACTACAAGAGCTTAGACAAGATTCAGTGATTTGTTTGATGGGAGCAGCTACAGCTGTTCAAAAAAGGAGTTTTGCCCAAGCAACGTGTGTATCGCAGCAATGTAACTTCCAGGACCATGAGAGAACATTGACCTGCGAATGGCCATAGGCCATGCAAGACGCCATGGCAGGTGGCGAGAGGGAAAAGATGCGTTTTCACACATGAGAGAATCCCCTTTTGCTGGCAAGCAAGGGCAACAATACTATGATGACTACAACCCCTGTCGGTGACCTTCTTTGAGACGCACGTCTCTTGAGGAACCCTTCCGGAATCTCTTGGACTTGGAAGGTGGGTGACGTGCGGAAAATGCACTGCAGATTTTGACCCGCCCTAGATCAACCCAAATCAAGCTAGTAGGCTAGGAGGTCTCCAAAGCACATCTTCCCGCCCAGACCTGACCTCCAATGGACTCAATCTCTGTTTTGTTGGATGGACATTCTGGACTCCAAATCCGTCGGAACCTCCCGAATGCCGCAAGCCTATCCCCAAGCTCCCCGGTGAAGCCAACACCGAGACCTGAGGTACTGATGCGAAGACCATGCACAGCTATTTGGGCTGGGAACAGGAGTTTCTCGGAATTCGAAGAAGGCCAAAGCACAAGAAGCTTGTTGTTAGAGACGTGCAAGTGACTGGAAAGATCTACTGGTCAAGAACATACCACCTTGGTACACGGCACGTCGTTTTCCGGAAGCCAATGAGGATTGCGCTCTCAGATGGTCCGAAGCAGGTGTGTATCCATGATTTTTCTGGTGGTGAGTTTACCTTTTGTTACCACAAAGGTATCATTTCTGTGGAGCCACCCATCCTCCATGCTATCGCAGCAGTTCCGGACCCTCCATGCTCTCGCACGAGAAAAAGACCGGAGCGACGTCAGGTTCTTCGTGCTCTCCGCTGCGCTCTACAAGGCCCGGCCTGACCTGGTGAACACCGGCCGCCGCTCCGGCTGGACTTTGTGGGAGAGGTGGGACTAAGAGGGTCCAAGAATCAAAGGGGGTTAAGGTATAGACGTCTTTTTTTTTGGTCTACTCCCTGTGGAGATGTCAAAACAATCTGATAGGGGGCTTTATTCATCAAGACAACACTAGAGTTTAGATATAGACATAGATTCTTGGACTGCGATTGTGGCTGTTGGGAAGACACTCTAGTGCTCGCTGGTCTCTTTTCTCAGTTTTGGCTTCTAGGGGGCTGCAATGTGCGACTCTTCTGCGCATTCAGCTGTTTCCACCAGTCACTACTGAGGAGGATATTGCAATCATCTCACAAGTGCTAGAGTTTATTTTTCCAATGGGTGGTGTGCTCTACTAAGTCAGAGCTGCTCCTGTGCCATGCACCAAACATCGCCAGCACCCCAACAGTTTGCCGGGACTTGGGTGGCAATTTGGGCGTCCTTCAGTGCCAGGGTATGGTGAGTATGGTGCTCCTCCCAGGAATTGAATGAGTGATGATGATTGGGTCTACCCAAGGACTAAAACAAAGGACTAACATCGCTCACACCCCGAAATCGGCCCTTGCGACCCTTGGCGCCACCTGTGGGGTCGCGACTTGTCACCTAGGCACCTTGTTTGGAAAGTTGCCAACTCGTCATCAACAAGGAGACCTCAACTACTTCCAGCCAATCCCAGGGAAGGCTGGTCTGCTGGGCACTGGTGATGATCCGCGACGTCGCGGAGATCTGTGGAGCAGAGAAAACCATTCTCAGACTGGCCAGTAAATCAAGCACAACGGGAAGAGTTCAGGTTTTCAATTTTCTACCATGAACATTTTTGATTCCACAAGGTACTGCTGACACCACTGGTCAAGGACACATAAACGATCGTAGACAGAAACCAGTAAAAGGCAGGGACCTCTTCTTTGAGCCACATCCGGTTGAATCTTCCAGCTTTGACACCTGAACACAGAATTGAGTCTCTAGGGAAAACCATCTCCACGGTCCCACGGTCCACGAATGCCATTGGCCGGGGTCGGATGCTTTTTTTCTCGACCGAGGGTTGGATGGAAAGACACAATGTGTTTTTGGAACAGGCCTTACTTGACTGGGAGGCGCGAAGTAGTGCCCTCGGAGAGGTCAAGACCTGGACGAAGATGTGACATAGAACATGGTGCAGTGGGTCCTTATTCCAAGGCTAAGTACTGACAGGCAAGAAACACGTGGCCTTTGTTTGCACATTTTGGTGACATCCCCGATCTCTCTCCAGAAATGCATCCGACCAACAGGTGGAGTAGGGGTTTGCAAGTCTTTTGGAGCCTTCTTCAGCCTTGAGGTGAACATATTTTTTCCCTTTTCGATGTCAAGTTGGAGGATCCATGATCCATCGTGATCCGACGGACACGAGCGAAGACACCCTCGTGATTTCAGCTGATCCAGTGATAATGCTTCCAAAGAAGGGTCTGGGTCAAAAGACCTCAGTCACCGGGGCTGTGAACCACAAGTGAGGAACCCCAGTCACTGGGCGTTCCTTCTGTTTGTGTTCTTCACCTGGGATTGAATTCATGCCATGAGCCTCGCCGTGTTTTCCCGTATCATGGCGCTGAAAGAAGGTGCAAGAGCTCTTGGACATCGTCCAGGCGGAGATGCTCAAGGTGGGAGAGTGAGAAGTCAGTCTGGCGAGGGCTGGAGGCTTTCTGAGCCACGCAAAGGACACATCTAAGTGGCTCTCAACCGTAGATTTAGTTGATTTTTGGGTCTCCAACTGAAGAGGCCTGATGATTTCGGGTTTGCCATACCCCTCCCCCACCATTTGCAGCCTGCCATGCTTGCTCCCCGAGCAAAAGCGGGAAAAGGATGGGAGGAACACCTTTGGCCTTTGGTTGGATGTATGCGAGGCCGTGGCTGATGCGACGTAGCTTTTGTTGGGAATGTCTGGTCTAGTAGCGTTGTGAGATCTCTCAGTCTCAACAGTAAATCGCAGTCTGCCGCTCGTCATCTTAGGCAACACCAGAAGGTCAATGAGTTCCACAAAACCCCACGCGGCGTTTTGCTCTGGCAACCCTGCTTTGGACCTGCTCTCGTGGGGCGCACGAACAGGTGGGTTGCCCAATGGCTGTGAAGCACAACGAGGTGGCTCCAGGCTGTTGGGGCACCGCTGGGCGATTCAAAAGCATCAGCATGGCAACAAGATGGACTCCATCTCAGTGCCACCCCCAAGAACTGCTCAAAGACTGGGTGTTTTTTGGCCTCGGGGGGCGTTTCTGCCCCAAAGCAACAGGTGTGACCAAAGCCATTTGGTGCATTGTAGTGCATTGTGCATTTGATCTTGTCCTCTATCTCCTAGGTGCAAAATACCTTTTGATTTTCTTTGCCGCCTCGAATGCAGAGTTTCAGAACGCTTCGGCATCCGAACGGTTCGGCCTCGCGTGGAACTCCCAGGACAGCACGAGATGTCCCCCGTCTTCCGCACGGCCAATGTCTCCTGCGACAGCAACGTGCCTTTTGGATTCAACCAGGCGTTGGGCTTTTGAATTGAACAAAAGAGGTGGCGAAGGATGCAACGAAACGATTCGGGCCGGGACGTGTCTCATCCGAGTTGTGACAGACGGAGGGGGCCCTTCGACCGAGGCTTTTCATGGAGGTGATGAACCGGGAGGCCGCCAAGCTGGGACTCCAGGTGCTCTTCCATGAGAACCTTGGACGGAGTCAGCCCGTTTTCCTGGAAGCCGGGAAAGCGAATCCGACGCCGGGAAAGCGTCACCAGATCCTGCCCTAGGCATTGCATTCTTGTGTTTTTGGAATGCCTGTGAGTTTGCTCTTTTAAGATCCCAATCTACTTGGGGCAACACATGTCACTCATATACACGCAGCACACGCATACAAAATTGCAGAATGAACTCTTCTGTCAGTTCTGCCAAGTACTGGACAACTAGACTCCTCCAAGCTCCTGCTGGGACCTCAAGATGAGGCCGTAACATGCAGTAAAGTTCAGAGAGCAAACAGATCGTTTTTGGCCGAGAATGTGTGTCCAACAGTCCAGCGGCACGGGCAGCATCGCAGCATGCGCAGAGCTCCAAATTGAAAAGGCTAGATATGACCACTCCCGGACAAACTTTACAGAGCCTGTTTGTGAGAGGGTGTTGCAAGGGGCCATGCTATCCACTTGAATGCTTGTTGGATACAGGTAGGTTATATACAGGAAACCACTGTATTCAAATGTGCACTGTATAATATCTCCTTTTTATCACCAGCCGGCTTGTGAATTCGTTCGAACTCGCAAAGCGCTCCATGCCTCATGTGGTGAAGATGTGATCAGGAAGCCATTCGCCGGCATCAATGGCAGCGGAAAGCATGCCAACTGGTCGGTTGGCACTGACACAGGTCGCGTGGAGTGAGTCCGTCAAGTCGTCTTCGCTCGTGCGGTGCTCGTCCGTCGCCAGGTCTCGGTGTTCGGGGAGAGGCTTGTCACCAGGGCCTCGGAAGGAGAGTGAGTGAGGTTATGTTAGGTTTTTCGGTTTTGCATGGAAGCGCAACACGCTTCGGCGCATGGACACTCCCAGAAAAGATTCTGCTGGTTGCTTCATGCACTCGACTCGACAAGACTCAAACGAAAGATTGGGCCGTCAGTGATGTGCCACTCTCAAGACGGATCCCACAGGTGGATCATTCTTCGCAATTGAAAGGAGAAGGCATGAAAAACACGAAGGGTTGTGTACCTGGGCACCGGCGTGGAGTATTGGAGCTTTGGAAAAAGACCTGCTCCTCAACCGCCTGCCCTGCCCTTGGCCGGTCTTTTGGGTGCCAGGATTGAACTTCTTCTATCCTGGCAAGAACGAGGCTGGAAGATGGATTGGTTTCTACAGTGGAGGTTGTTAGCACCAAAACAAAAACACATTAATTTTTATAGACGTACTGCAGGTTTCTCTTTGATTTTGCTCGAAGGAGTCCTGACTCTTCACACATACTCTTCTTTGTTGGGTGCGACAGTTTAGGCACTTGGTTGGCTCCGGCCCGGCAGCCAATAGTTCGCCCAGGTTGACCAGCCAGTGTTAGCTTTCTTTGGGGCCAAGGAATTGGGCACGTACGTACAAAGCGACGAAGCGACGTGCCTGACGTGCGAGTTTGGATGTTTTAGGATGCTACGAAAGGGAACCCCTATTTTTGTGGCTAATGCAGGGGTAAAAATTTGAAAAGGAAGTGGTCATTCCAACTTGACCCACCCTTTTGTGGGCAATGCAGGGGTAAAATTTAGAAGGAAGTGGCCATGCCAAGTTGACTCACCCTTTTGTGGGCCATGCAGGGGTTTAAGTTAGACAAGGATGTTGCCCTTCCAAGCTGCCTCACCCTTTTGTGGGCAATGCCGGGGTAAAATTTAGAGAAGGAAGTGGCCATTCCAACTTGGCTCGCCCTTTTGTGGCCATGCAGGGGTAAAACTTAGAGAAGGATGTTGCCCTTCCAAGTTGACCCACCCTTTGGTGAGCAACCCGAGGATAAAATTTAGAGAGGGAAGTGGCCGTTCCAAGTTGACCCACCCCTTTATGTGGGCAATGCAGGGGTAAAATTTAGAGAAGGAATTGGCCGTTCCAAGTTGGCTCACCCTTTGGTGAGCCACCCGCGGGTAAAGTTTACAGAAGGATGTTGCCATTCCAAGCTGCCTCACCCTTTTGTGGGCAATGCAGGGGTAAATTTTAGAGAAGGATGTTGCCCCAAGTTGACTCATCCTTTTGTGGGCAATGCAAGGGCAAAATTTAGAGAAGGAGGTTGCCCTTCTAAATTGATTCCCCCTTTGGTCAGCCACTTGAGGGTAAAATTTAGAGAAGGAAGTGGCCATTCCAACTTGACCCACCCTTTTGTGGGCAATGGAGGGGTAAAATTTAGCAGGAAGTGGCCATGCCAAGTTGACTCACCCTTTTGTGGGCCATGCAGGGATACAAATTAGACAAGGATGTTGCCCTTCCAAGCTGCCTCACCCTTTTGTGGGCAATGCAGGGGTAAATTTTAGAGAAGGATGTTGCCCCAAGTTGACTCACCCTTTTGTGGGCAATGCAAGGGTAAGAACTGGCCATTCCAACTTGGCTCGACCTTTTCTGCAGGGGTAAAATTTAGAGAAGGATGTTGCCCTTCCAAGTTGACCCACCCTTTGGTGAGCAACCCGAGGGTAAAATTTAGAGAGGGAAGTGGCCATTCCAATTTGACTCACCCCTTTATGTGGGCAACGCAGGGGTAAAATTTAGAGAAGGAATTGGCCGTTCCAAGTTGGCTCCCCCTACAGAAGGATGTTGCCATTCCAAGCTGCCTCACCCTTTTGTGGGCAATGCAGGGGTAAATTTTAGAGAAGGATGTTGCCCCAAGTTGACTTGGCTCACCCTTTGGTGAGCCACGCGCGGGTAAAGTTTACAGAAGGATGTTGCCATTCCAAGCTGCTTCACCCTTTTGTGGGCAACGCAGTGTAAATTTTAGAGAAGGATGTTGCCCCAAGTTGACTCACTCTTTCGTATCAAAATTCAATAAACTCCAGATGCAAGGGTGTTCCTTGTCCCCTACAAAAGCTTTCATTAGAATAGTGATGCTTCATTAGACTAGCAACTATATAAAGCTTTGGAAAGGTGATGTCGTTGCGCCATGCCGTTTTTGTGTGACCTTGGTGGAAAGTGCGTTTGCGTAGATATCCGTGCCATTGGGGGAAGGAAAGCCTGCTGGTGTAAACACGCCGTGTCATGGTGGATAGACAGGGTGGACAGAGGTGAGCAGTTGCGGTTGTTTTTGGAACTCAATTTAAAAAACTCCTCCAAAATCGGCCGTGTTGGTCGTTCAGTAGCGATTTGCAAGGGCGGCCATTTAAACACCAAGCGAGGTAACTTTTGCACGCCCCGGGGAGGACCTTTTCCGTGTAGGGGTACGATCTGCAAATAGGCGCGTTCCAGCGTAGCGCATTTGTCATGGGCTTCCCAACATTAAAGCTTAGAGGAAGAAGGATATGCCAAGATATTCCACCATAAAGTGCAGACGACAAGGAATACCTTTTGTGTGTTAGCCGAGGATAAACTGTATGTGGAAAGGCGAAGAACTCTTAAGAGATTATACTTTTTCTTTCCACTTTTTGCACTGCTCCTTCTCCTTCGTTTCGTTTTTCTTCTCTCTCTCTCTCTCCCTTTCTCTTCGTGCTACATGAAATAGTTGAAGGTAGCGTACGTATATATTTGTTCAAAGCCCAGGAACCGGAAGAACACCTAAAGCACGCCTAAGGACAAGAAACCGAGCCTAAAGAAACCCGAAACCAGTGAAACCCACTGTTCCCTCCCTTTCTCTCCATCACGCTGGCTTTGGCGCTTCGTCCCCTACCCTTTCTGCTGCTCCTAGTGCTTGGAAAGCACTCCCAGCAGAAGCCAAAGCAAAAAAAAACAAAACAAAAGCAGTAGGGGAAAAAAATGGAAAAAAATTCCCGGAAAAAATTTGAAAAAAATTCCCGGGAAAAATATCCACCCCTACGAAAGCTCCGATAGGCTTCTTTTGGGGCAAAGAGAGTCGTTCGGTCAACGTCAGGGCAGCTAAATATCGTTGAAGGGTAATCGTGTTGGACCGACACAAAAGAGTTCAAAGGGCCATACTCTCCAATCATCACCACCACGGTGATTGACTTGGCTTTGCTTTTTACATGAAACGGATGTTTCTTTTTCTTTTTGCATGTGATCTGGCGCACGCCAGCGCCTCTGCCTGAGGCGGGTGCCAAGCTCTATGTCACGGCCATTGCCTGCTTGGCTGCTCGAGATGATTGATCCTCCGATCCGAGGGCCTTTGGGTTGGACGAAACGGATTCCGAGTTTTGGTGACGCAACGGAGCGAAAAAGGGTGTTTGCATGTTTTTAAAACTTGCATTCCCAAGAGGGGGTTGGATTGGGCAGGGTAGATTGGCGTAGAGTGACATCCACAAATATATGCTTCCAACTCGCCGTAACACTGGCTTCTGAGAGCTTCTCAGGGTTCTTCCTGCAAATTGTTTGACTGTGCATTCTAATTTCAAACTGGGTTAAACCAATCCACCTCGTGTCCCACTCTACACCCTCGCCCCCTCATTTTGATCGCAGTGTGACCAAAGCCACGCCTTTTCCGCCAAGCCACACGCCTCCGAGGCTTATGGCCTGGCACAGTACAACGAGATGGTGCGCTGCACCGTGGCGCACTCCGGCAACGACCACCGGCTCGGCGCACAGGAGAGTCCGAACCTTGTGACGGGTCGGTGTGGACGTGGGGGGCCGAGCAGCTTGGACACATTTGGAGGCCACTAATGATGGTTATATCATATCGTTTTCTCCGACCAAAGCCCGCTGATTTGCTCCAACTTGACGCCTTCTTTCACACCTACAGCATTCAATTGAGACAGAATGGGGCGAACTACATGGCTCCTCTTGAGTCTGATGTATGTACAACCAAGGAATGAAGTGTTCTGGTCGAAGAGACATTGTTAAACAAACACGGAAGTGGAACAACACCACTTGGTAGAGGAAAGTCAAGAGGCAGTGACAAGGCGGGCTCGCGAAACCTGGAGGAAGATAATCTTTTTGCGGGCAATCTTTTCAATTTTTGGGAGGGTAGACAAGGATTGCCGGGTGTCATTGCTATTTTCCCTATCTGATCTAAGGCTTGCGATAGACCTGAGGTTGCCTGGGCTGCTGGGGGCAGGTATGCATGGGTGCCCTCCGGTCTAAGTCGTACTAGCTAAGTTTGGACGAGATGACTGGGCAACGCTTACGGGGTAACCCGGACAAATCAGGCTGAACAAGTCCAAGAGAGTCTCAAAAGGACCTGTTGCACTTCCGCTGGCAGGAGGCTCCCCCTGCCATCATCAGTTTGTACCCTGGGCAGGCGGGATGTGCCATGTACGCCAAAACACCGGGTTTCCTCTCTTCTGCTTCGAAGCCGACGCTGAAAGAGTGTCCGACGGTCCTAAGAGGTGGTTCAAATGACTGCGCGATCGGAGGACGGACCCGAGGGAACGAGTTTGAACGGTCCCACCGAGCATAGCGTCCTTGCTACGTTCGTAGCTTCGCAGCGTCCTAGTAGCGATGGCCTCCAACCTACGAAGCCGATGGCCTCCATCTAATAGCGTCCTTGCTTCATGTGTTGTTTTCCTCCGCAGGTTGTTGAAGTGTTTACCGGGCCCATCTTGGTTTTGCGGATTTGCTGCAATTCCACCGAAGGAAGTACGATAAAGTAACTATATTTACAATTACGTATACTTGACACAAACACACACACACAAAAATTACATATTATTACATGCAATCCTTTGTTCAGGGGGATTTGCTTGGTGGATGTTGTTTATTGCAACATCACATGGTCATAATGGATATTCACAGCATGGGTACCTCAAGCAAGTAAACATCTCGGCCTGGGGATGAATTAAGCAAGAGTTCCTTTGTATCAGTTCCAAGCCTCTTGGGTTTCGATGGCTGGTGTCCGAAACAGATCAGATTTTTGATTGATACACACATTCATTTTTGTGTTCTTGCTGTGTGGCCGTTTCCAACCAAGCATGACTACCTGCTACTACCCCGCAACCAGTCTTTTTTGATGGGCTTGGTGGAACATGGGCCTCCCCACCACATGGGGAAATCAGACTGGCTGAATGCAGACATCCCAGGAGATCAGCGACTATATTAGCGGCTATACAATTGATTTTCATCTAAGCTTCTAAGCATCTAGATGCAGAGAGCTTCATTCAAAACACTGGATCTGAGGGTGTTGGGACAACCCTGTTAACGTTCTTCACAGAACGGGAAGTCATTCGACCCCCCAAACCGGTCCGACCCGTGGCGTCGCACGGTCCGTGGTCGGTTGCAGGGCTTCGAGCAGTTCGTGGAGAGCATCGTGAAGGGCGGGGATTTGCTGGGCCTCTTGGTCAGATGCGTCGGGCCACTGATCATCGAATCTGAATCGGATCGATTTCGGGGGGGTGCCGTGGTTGGAGCCGAAAGGAGGGTGTTTTTGCACTTTGGGCTTTGGGGTTCTAAGAGATCCGGTGATCTAAGCGAGTCCTGCATGATATTTGACTCTTTGTTGGTGTTTCCGGTTGATTTGGCAGAGTGCAGAGTGTGTGTGCCTTCACAAGGCACTTTAGAGTGTGTGCACTTCGGTTTCTCATGGTTTCTCACTCCGTTTGAGGCTACAAGGCCGAGAAGAAGAAGCAAGAGACTGGATGCAGCGCTGCCATGCACATCGAGGCGAACGTGGAAGACCGCCTCTTGGACTGACCCGACGGCCCGAGGGCGAAGAGAAGGTCTGGAACAGGACTCTCCAGTGTGCTTGGGCTAACTGTTGGTTTGGGAGTGTAATTATATATAATCTATATATATATATACACACTATATAAACTATTCCAATCAAAACAGTCGCAAACTCCATGGTTGGGCGGGTAGGTCTTTCAATGGTCCACCTATCCCTTTTCTATTCACCAGCCAGTCGAAAGGGTCTTCTACAAGGTTTTGGACAGCTCGCTTGCAGGTTGAGTGGCTTGGAGCTTTCTGCACTGGTGCACACTGTAGAGTTGTGGCAAGGGAAAGCAATCCCGTCAAGAGCTACAACTTGAGTCCCCGACTATGGTCATGTTCTTTGAGTGGCCTCAGTTCTACCAGTCTTTTTACCTGCGAAGCTAGCCCGAGCCGCAGCCGTTGATCCATAGATAAGAGATGATCAGAGATGATAACAGCATGGAACATTTAAAGTAAATGATCAAACTGAGTCATAGATTGCTGGTCATCGAACATTTCAAACACGATGACCACTGAGTCACAGCATTCCACAGTCGATTCAGACGATTGAACCAGCGACCACCCCCAGGCGAATCGCCGATTTGAGGGACGCTTCAACGGCCCCGAAAAAACATATACGGGCGGCGAAGGTGAAGTACCATGAAGTACCCGGAAGGTGTGGTGAGGAAAGGATACGTTTCAAGTGTTTTGTGTTTTTTTTTGTATAGATATCAATTCAAGGATGTTAAATTTCATTTGGACTTTCCATGGTCACACACTGCCCAAAGATGGACCAGCCTCATGGCTGTGGGTCATCTCCCCTTGATATGCTCGGGCATTGCGTCTCGGATTTCGTGGCCCAAAAGAAAAGCGGATTTCGTAAGCTTCGTGGTCTCAGAGTCTCTTTCCTGTGCCCTCAGGCAACCGCACTGCGCCCTTCCCCTTCTGCGGCAACCGCTTCGAGTTCCGAGCTGTGGGCTCCTCTCAGACACTGGGACTCGGGAGGAAGGAAGGAATATGTACTTGTGAGACCTTTGGGTGGAGGAATTCTCTGGAAGGAAGGGAACCAAAGAGAATCCAGCTGGCCAGATAGCCATCAAAGCGAAGGGCCCATTTGCTGTATGGAAACAGGATGGACCGACACTTCCGTGATTCCCTCGCCTCGCTTTCAGGAACTGCTGCCTGCCCGTGACCTGGCTTCAGTGGTTCCGATGGAGGTAATGTTTGATGTGCCAAAACCTCATCGGAAGCATATCAAAATGGGGAGGCTTCAAAGAAACGGTGCATCCGGGCAAATCATCAGTTGTTGTGGAAACGTAGCTGAAGATTCACTCGCTGAGGTGTTTGTCGTTTAGAGAACACGACAAGCAGGTCTCCACATTCTCCCCAGAAGCATCTGCAGCATGATCGCATGTGCTGAAACCCTGAAGAACACCCTCTTCAGGCGGTCCTTCAAATCAGGTTGCCAGTGGGCTCTTCACCTCATGCACCTTCCCGAGGTCATGGTCTGCAATGCGGTGATGTCTGCGGGCATGGCCCATCTGGCTGGGCTCGTCGAGGGTGGCATGAGCCACCGTGACGCCGTGGCCAAAGTCTTCCAGGACTAGACGGGCGCGCGGGGTGTGTTGGGACAAAAGATGAACAAAAGCGGGTAAAGGCGGGGTTGAGGTGGCTGGGAATTTTCATGATTTGTGTTGGCACTGCTGACATCGTGGTGGATGTGTTCATGGGGATCATTGCCAGCTCTTCAAGGTTGGGGAAGAGTTTGTAGTAGTGCCACCCTGGACGAGAATGTAGAAACGTGTCCGATGAAGAATCCATAGGAAAAACATATTATCATGATTTATCATGTAAATCTACTGTATTTATACATATTTCGTATTTGTACACTGTAAACCATAACAAAAGAAGAACAGAGAGCTCTTCAGAGTTTATTGGCATTGTTATTGGAGGAACTTCGGCCGGCCCTGTTCCAGGTTCGATCTCCAAATCGCTCCAGTTCCATTTTTTTTCCAGGAGAACAAGCATGTGATCTTTACGGGGAACGGCTACTCCGCCGAGTGGCCCGTGGAGGCCCAAAAGCGTGGCCTGCCCAACCTGAACACCACCCCGCACCTGGCCTGGAAGAAGCGTGGTTTTCGTGTCCAACGACGGTCTGGTTCTTGGACCAGGCGGATAGGGAGAAATGTCTCACTGCAGTGCCGATGATACATCTTCCACTAACAAATCAAGATGTGATCGATCACAGTTATTTGTCAAGGTCCTTTGAACACCATACAGGAGATGCTTCAAGGGTGCTTCACTTGCTCTGGATGTGCTGCTGTTCACTGTTGACACAACCAAACGTAGTCGAAGTGTGACACGTCTACTCCCTTTGCATGACCTTGCCTTCTCATCCCATGCTATAACCCTGTCTTTGCACTTGCATCCTGCATCCCTTGTCCTCCACTAGTCTAAAGTGGTGTTGTCTGGGAATCTGATGGTCTGAGCTTCAATGCATGAGATTCTATCTACCCTACAGATACTCAGCGGGGCAACCCCCGTGCATGATCATGAACGTGTACGGCCCCAGTAGGACATCATCAATCCTTCGAGCCGGATTTTCCTTTTGTTTCACCGAGGAAAGCAGTGGCCACCTGGAATTCTGAGAAGAACAAGAAGCTGCTGGGCTTGGCTAGCGGCTAGAGATCGAGGTCGAAGTGGAGCCGCTCTCTAAAGTCTGAAAGATGGCCCCAGCTCAAGATGATGATAACGACCCTCAGACTCTCCTCCAGCTACTAGTAGCAAGAAGCTACTATATAGTAGCGAACTTCTAGCTACTAATAGCAATGCCCTTGTTCCTAGTAGCGATGCACTTAGCTACTAGTAGCTTCTTGTTATGGCTTCTTGTTACTAATGAGTAGTATACGCTTGTTTAGTGAGACATGACATAGACATGACCGTAGTAATTCCTCTCCGCAATGAATTCATGCATCCTTCAACATGAAAAGGCAGAGTCAGAGCTAAGCTTGGGTGTGATCAATTCAATCATTTGATAAACCAACAAATCTGGTCTTGTTCACCCAGGCTCTTCGAGACTCTGAAGATCTACACAGCGGAGGAGACCGAAGCACGTCAGGAGGTGATGTATGAGCCTTGGCAGAAAAATATAGCCTATGATAGCCTATGGATGCTTGTTTCAACATATTGCAACTATCTACAGTGTTTATAACACACCAACCAACTTAACTTGGGTTAGTTCTTCCCTTTCATTTCCCTTCGACCTCTGAACAGCGCGCTTTGGGCCTCTTTGGATCAGCTTGACGAGCGTGCGCCGCAACATGGATGTGTCTCCACAACCTCGGCCTCCAACCTCATGGGGACACCACAAAGTAGACGGGCAAAAGAAACTCACAAGGAAAAGACTTATTGTTCTTTCTTGTTGTTTTCCTTTTCCACAACCACTTTGGTCCCACTTCCGCATTTGGTCCCACTGCCCAGAAGAGCCCACTCCACATCCAACTAGCAACGTGGGATTCTTGCTCCGTGACTCAGGCAAAACACGAATCGGTCGCAATACAGAATCCGTTGCGCAGCGGGCAGAATTCAGTACTTGCGCGCGCTGCCACTGAGTTGGCCCGGTGGCGGCGCTGCCACTGAGTTCACCGCGGCCACTTCGGTGGATTCGATCGGCTTAAGGAGAACTACATTTCAGCTCTCTGCTGCGAGGCGCCGCTGGAGGATTGGTGCCTGAAGGGGAGCTTCACTCCTCCGACCAGCTCCATTTGAGGTCCCATCTTTTTGGGGGAACCCATTTTGCAGGCTTCCAGAAATGCTCGGACAAACACCAGGAACCAACACAGAGAGTCATTTTTAGCCGAAGACCCTCAAAGACACTTTGGAACCCTTTTTCCGTTTTTTTCCACGGCAAAAGCATGCGTTGGATTTCGTTGGATGTTTAAGTGGATGTAAGGGAGGTGTGATTCTTTGGCTGGAAGAAGTTGGCTGAACATTGTTGCAGGTGGAGACCATGATTCAAATGACGGAGACGGGCTTTTTGCCTGCATGCGCCAAGGAGATACGTGACTCTAGGTGACAGGGTACCCGGCACTTCTTGTCATCTAAAGTTGGGCAAACCTGGCTGAGAAAAAATACTGGTGCAAGCAAAGGGGTCCTCCCCAAATATGGGTCTTTAAAGTTTCATTCACCTATTTGGAGATGGGATCCCACAAAAACCTAAACCCTAAACCGCTCCAAAAGCATTCCAAAAACACCAACACATTTCGCACGGTTTGGGGCGCTCTCGAGACTTGCCTTTTCCAGGGTGAAACCCTCGGCTCTTGCGGCGCCTCGTCGTGCGGTGCGTCGCGATGCATTCGGAGCAGCTCGTCATGTCGCCGCTTTGCGTCACTGCCCTACCCAAGGGGATGTGCTCTCTGCTTGTGGACTGAACGACTGGTTCTAGAAAAGGGGCTCATGGTTGGTGTCCCTTTTCTGGCCGTCAACGTCCATGTTCAGAGAGTGGCATTCCCTCACACAGTTGGCCGTGTGTGGGGCTTGCACGTCCAGCGCAGCGTTCTAAACGCGAGTTGCACCTCTGGGGCCAACGCGTGTGCAGCTTTGCATGCGTATGACAGCAAGACAAATGGGCTAAAGTGCTTGCTGGGGGTGCTCCCGTTTGTCACAGGCACTTGCACTCTCAACTGCCAGTCTGGACACACATGGGGCTGGTCGTGCAGGGAGGGGAGGCCATTCACTCTGAGATGGCTGTGGCGAAGGTCAAAGCTACAGTTGATTCCACAGTTTATCACAATCGTCCTCCTCTCTCGTACTCCCAGCTATTCTTGGCTTAGCATGCGCCAGTTTTCATTTTTTCCTGTGCTCTTCTCACAATTGACATTTGACCTGGCTCGTTGGCCAACGCGGACGGCCGCAGATTCTCCGTGACTTGGATGAAGGCCAGCGTCGTTTGGCCTGCACTTGGTGTGGTGGGCCAGCGCGCACTTGCTTGTTTGAGACGTTCGAGTTGCACCTTTGAATGTTCACATCCCTTTGAAAGCCTATGATTTTGCCACCTGCCGCTTGACTCCGGAACTCCTGACAGGTGCAGGCATGAGTGTTGGCAAGGCATGATTACTTGTCAGACTTGTGAGATCACAGTTGTTTCGGTTCATCCATCCCCTTTCCAAGAGAAGACATTGTTGGATCCAGGGATGGCATGACATGACATGACTAGAAACTGGACAATCCTACTAAAGTTGCTGAATGGTGAAAGATGGAACACTATGATGAAACAGATTACTGTATATTATATGACCAAGCTCCACTTAGGCGCCGCTTTGCTCGATGGCTTGCTGTCACACAGCCAGGATCTGGAGAAGTACAAGGGAGTGGAAAAGCTGGCTGGCAACCGGAAGGAGAGTTGGATTTGTTCGGACACAGCCTTAAAAACAGTGATTCGGGAGAATTTTGGGGGATTGCCTAACTACAACTACGACCCATGTTCATCGGATTGCTTGTTATTTTGGACGGGCGATACTCCGGATCTCGCCTTGTGATCTTCGTGATTTGATTTCTTGGAGATCAAATCACATCCATCTTTGCAGATTGAAGCTCCCACGAATTGTGCGGACCAGGGTCACCAGGGACACGGAAGGCGCTAGCTATTTGGTAATCCAACATCCTACTAGGTCCTACAGTCGTAGCTTGATCCTGGATCTCCCTTTTGAATCCTCACGTAGGCGATCTATGACAGCATCATCGACCAGCTGGAGAAGCTTAAGGCGGCCTTCGAGAAGAAGCCGTGCCATGGCGGCGCCAAGCGGTGATTCGGGCGGCCAAGCGCCCAAGCGGTGGATTTCTCAAGGAGGGGTTGACGCTAGGAGCTCAAAAAACGCCCGACGAAGAGAAGAACCTGAATGTTCTTCACGTCGCAATGATCTAGAAAGGGTGCTTTAGATCATCTATGGTCCTTGTTCATCTCTGGACAAGGTTTTATGTTGGGCGCGGTATTTCGATTCTCCCCCAGTCTGTAGAAGCAGCAGGGAAGGAACGTTTTATCTCGTAGAAAGTAGACACCTATGTTCCACATTGTTCCACGGCAACCCATTATCATGAATAATATTTCATGATGTTCTGTCACTCATAGTCATCAATGATCCATCACACGGAAGCTGTTTGCCTCTCTTTTTGAGCAGGTTCAACACGTCTTGGATGGCAAGGTGTTCATTCGGGACCAACATCATCCAGGGGTTTCACTCTTTTGTTTGATCTTGGACATGAGAATCACAGGATGGAGCTCACGAGGTGTTCTATTCAATGTATTTAGATTCATATTTTTAATATACTGTACTACAATATACAGTAATATACACATACCCCGAGGCTCATGGACCCTCAAACTGCTACATCTGACAGTATCCGCGACCGATGTGTTTGCCGCTCAAGCTTCATGGATAGGTTTCTCGCAGGTGCATCCGCCTTGTTGCAGGCCTCGCACCTTTTCGCTTGCCCGGCCCATTGCTCTCCTTCCGTGATAGGCCCTTACCTGATCGGCCTCCTGAGTGGGATTTGCCTGGCCATCCCCCTCTGTTGTTGTGCCTTCTTCTTCCTGCTGCAGCATTTTCCTGGCCCTGCTCCGGACCTCCACAGAGTCCCTACTGTCCGAACCATCTCCCGCCGCTTGAGCGGCTACGTACATGAGCACTAGGCCATCTCTAGAAGCTGTACGTTTAGAGCTAGCCTTCACTTCGGCAGAGATCTCGGCCTTAGCTACTAGAGTCCAGGCCTTGAGTTCGCAGTTGGACGCCTGGGCAGAGAGCGAGGGTTTCATAGAGCAGGTAGAGTGGGAAGTGGTGGAGGAGTCCGCTCCCCCATTCGGCCAGAGTGACGCCACAGAGGCGTACCCAGGAGCATCTCAGGTCAGACCCGGTGACAGCGCTCCGCCGGTGCCCCAGAACATTTTGGATCTCTGTAGCACCAGGCTTCGTTCGGCTAGTGTGCCGGTAGAGTCGAGGGTCCGCAGAGCTTTTGAGAGCGGCCATCAAGCGTGGACAGCGCTTAGCCTCAGTTCCGACTATCGCCAGGCGGGACCGGTAGTGCACCTGAAGTCCACCCACTGGATTGTGTTGAGGGGAGCAGGACTTGTCGAGCCGATTCGGACCGCATCCCGTAGGCAGGCAGTTCAGGCCTTAGCAAGAGTCGATTCGCGAGCCATCATCGAGGAGTTTCCATCGTTCGTAGAGCTGCAAGTGTTTTGCCTGGGAGCCAGGATCGACATCCCGGCTCTGAAGCAATGCAGAAACACCAACTAAGGTTTGGGGAGGCAGGTGAACCCAGCCTCCTTGTTGTGCATGTGCCTCCAGAGCTTAGTGCAGGGGGAGAATCAAAGATTGTTTTCGGATTGCCCATTCTCTCGAGAGAGGGGGGCCTGCTCCTTGCCGTTCCCGCTGCCACATTTGATGACAGTGCCTTGGAGTTAGGTCAACAAGAGTCTGAGCTAGCATTGTTAGGCCCTTCCTTTGTGACCGGAGCCTCTCTTGTGGAAGAAAATGAGTCTGGGGAGGTAGTTCCCGTGGATTCTTTCCCAATCGAAGTTTTGATCGTGGACGTGCTGGACAGCTTCTTGGAGTATGTAAAAGAATATGACCCTGCCGGAGATGCGGGGGAAGATATATGCCCTTTTGACGATGAAACACCCTCGGCCTTGCCTCTCACCTCAACATTGGTGACAGCTGCAAAGGAGTGGACATTGTCGGGAGTGCAGGGTGGCAGAACAAATTTTTATTCTGCTCGAGAAGAGCAAGAAGCAGTGCAGACACCAGCAAAGCAGAAAGCAGCGGCAAAGAAGGCAGCCCCAAAGAAGATCACAAACGCAATACTTGCGGAGCAGGTAGCAGCATTAGCCAGCCAGGTTCAAGCTTTGTCAGCCATGCAGACACAGGCAGCGGCCAGAGATTTGTCGTATACCCCCTCTGTCGCCCCTGCCTTAGAAGCACCCGCTGGGCTAGGGCAGAGGGCTTTTCCCCGAATGGCCCCATTGGCCCACAGCTTGGAGGCCTGGCCAGGGCCGAAGGCCGCATTCGTGAAGACGGCTGCGGAGTTGGTGGGCCCGCCGCCCAAGACAAGAGCAGCTGCGAAGGCGACGGCTCTGGTGGAGGTGGACGAGCCAAAGGACCCCCTGGATTTGGGAAATGCAGATCCCATGCTGGCAGCCTTGGCACAGCAGAGCACAGCGATCACGTCGCTTGTAGCGCACCTGGCAGGCAATGCAAGCGATCCTCTGGCAGACCTTCACACAGCAGGTCCTGGTTTGGGAACAGCGTCTACTACAAGAGGCGTCGCAAGGCGAGAGAGGATGCAGTCAGACCTGGCACTCCGTCAGAGCCAATACTGGCTGGCGTTCCTGCAACAGGTCTCAAGGAGGATGTACCCATCTCGACAGGTCCCGACATCCTCAGAGATGGCAAGGGATTCAGGCCTCTCGTTCCTGGCCTACCTGGAGCGATACGGAGCCTTCAAACAGAGCAAGGAACTGGGGACGATTTTGTGGATCGTTGGGTACATTGTCGATGCAGCAATTGCTCAAGACTTCGATGGTGTGAAAGAGCATCTCGCATTGTTTGTGACAGCACTGGACCAGGCAGCCCTGGACCAGAACTGGGACACCGCCTTTCTGGTGAGTTTGGTCGAGGACCCCCCTGCTCAGATCTTCATGGAAAGGAGCAGCAACACAACGTTGGCGAAGCCCTTCTCTCCCCTCATGCCCTCAGCATGGGGGGCAGTGCTGCTGGCTTTCCTGAAGGACATAGACATCATGAGCTCAAGGAAGCAAGAGACGAAGAAGAAGACAGGTCAAGCTTCCCCGTCCACGGGAGATCCCGGGGGCGAGGCCTCTCCCAAGCGCAAGCCGCGCTTCCCGAAGAAGCCGAAGGGGGGACCCCCGAACCAGCAGCAAGCATGAGGAGCTATGAGCCCTGCGCCTCAAGCAGGTTTCAAGGTGGCTTGGACACAGGGCGCTCAGAGAATTCACTCAGGCAGCATGCCGACCATGGGTTGAGAGAGACATCAGGAGGTTCGGTAGGGCAGAAGTACAGTACACCTCCTGCGGACTCTTTCAATAGAAATGGTCATCAGAGGATCCATGAAGACCAATTCATTGCAGATTTTGAGACGACCAGCTACAGCCTTCCGAAATGGTGTGCTCAGCTGACGACATTGGTGCTGCGTACGAGGACTCCTTTCGCAGCCTTACTGGCACAGACATTCCACCTGCCACGTGTCCCTGACACGGTACCGACCGTTTTCCCGGTGCCACTCCCGCCAGGTGAGTGGTTCACACGGATGCCCCATGACCTGTCTGCAGATAAGAGACGGAGGATCCATCTGAACAGAGTGGTCCACATTGTGGTGCTTGCCCTCAATGCTTGGCATTACAGTGGTCGCCTGGACATTGGATCTCTTGGGAGGGCGCCTTCTCCTGTTCATCAGTGCCTGTACTCGAGAATCAGACGCCTTATTCGGTCGGAGGGCCTAGCTCACTTTCAGACTTTAGTGAGCTCGGGTCGTAGGCTTCCACAATTAGTTGCAAGACTTGGTGAGTTGTCTGAAGCCCTGACTTTCCATGGGCCATCATGCAACCCATATGACAGAAGCTTCCCAGGATACGATGTGCCAATAGTGAACGATAGAGAGGAGCTCAGGCCATATCGGAGCTTGGATGCCAGCCGTCTTATTTTGAAGGGAACAGGACACTTTGACGCGTCCCCCTACCTAGATGACGAACTGATCCTGGCCTACCGGGAGCCCCGCTCCCTCCTCTTCGAAGCAGATGACTATGGGGAAGACTCGTGGCCTGCCACAAACGATCCCGAACAGGAAGTCACGAAGCTGGCATTACTGTGGGACAAGAATGGGCTGCTTTTTCTCCATGGTGGCTTTGATTTGGATCAAGAGCCTGACTGTCGAACAAGGATCTTTAATGCCTACAAGAACCAACTCGCCGACAGGCAAATCGGAGACCGTCGTGCCAGAAACAGTTGTGAGTGCAGAGTACGCGGACCTAGTATCGACTTGCCTTGCGGTTTCGACCTGGTAGACATATATTGTAATCCTAAGACCCATTACATAGCAATCGGCATCACTGATAGGAAGGACTTTTACCACCAGTTCCATGCAACGGAAAGTAGATCCCGGTCCAACACCGTAGGACCCCCCGTGCCTGCTAGGGATCTTGAGGGCACTCATGCTTATGCAGAGTTTGTCTCGAGAGCTGCTCGACTCAGGTACCAGAGGAGCCTTCATGGAGATAGGCTCGGATGGCGGGGTTCCAGACGAGCGCAGAAGGCCCCGCAGTTTTTGTTTGTGTGCTTCAAGTCGGTCCTTCAAGGGGACCACGCAGGCGTTGACATTGCGACATGTGCTCATGCCTCACTCCTTGAAAGTTATGGCCTCCTTCACGAGTCCTGTAGGGTCCGAGGCTCCCGTCCGATTGAAGCAAAACTAGATGCCGAGGGTCTTTGCATAGACGATTATTTTGCACTGAGCGTTGAAGCTTTGCCGACGGAGATCGCCAAGTCTCGTGCTGCCCTCAAAATCCAGAGAGCCCTCAGGGTTTATGAGGAACATGGAATTCTAGGCAGCCCGGAAAAAGACGTTTTATCCGATAAAGCAAAAGTTGTAGGAGCAGTTGTCAATTCGTCGCTAGAAGCTAGGAAGAGAGACATGATCTTGCTTGGAGCACCGATAGAGAAAAGGTTGGCAATGTCACTAATAAGCCTTAGACTCGCTTCCCTATCCCACACCACTGATGCTCTGCACTCATGCCTCCTAGGAGGGTGGATCTCGGCCCTCATGTTCAGACGTCCCCTCATGAGCTGTTTCTCCAAGGTCTTCAGTATGACAGACCTGGCGACGCTGGACCCGGCGGCGCCTAAGATGATCCCTCTCACAAGGGGGGCTGCAAACGAGCTTGTTTTGGTGTCAGTGCTCATGCCTTTCGCTGTCACCGAACTAAGTGCGGGGTTTATCAACAGAGTGTACTGCACAGACTCCTCATCTCAGAAAGGAGCCATTTGCTCTGCTCCATGCAGTCTTGACATGAGTGAAGTCTTGTGGAAGACTTGCAAGAGCAAAGGGGCCTATTCCAGGCTCTTGTCTCCGGTTGAGGTTGAGATTCGGAAGCGCCAAGAGATAGAAGAGCCTGCCGAAGACCACGACTGGCAGTCTTTCCAACATACCCGACGGCCGCTTGCTTATAGATTTTCCTTTATTGAGATCTTCGCAGGTTCGGCCAAAATCACGGCTGCCATGTCTGAGAGGGGATGGTCGGTAGGTCCCCCCATAGACTTGACCTTTAGCCCCGAATATGACGTTAGCATGCCCCATGTCATGTCCTGGCTCTCCTATTTGATAACTGAGCACTTGATTGAGAGTTTCGCGGTCGAGCCGCCATGCACCACCTTTTCGGTTATGCGGCGACCTGCCCTCAGGTCCAAAGATCAACCATATGGATTCGATCCCCTTCATGCACAGACCGCTACCGGCAACTCGCTCGCGCTAAGGGGGTTGCAGTGCATGGAACTGGGAAGACGGTTCGAGGTGCCGGGCTGGTTAGAGACCCCTTACTCCTCAAAACTCAAGTTTTTGCCTCCGTATATAGCACTGAGAAACAAGCCTGAAACAGACTTCTGCAGAACAGACTCTTGTTGTTTTGGATCGGAACACCTGAAGAGCTTTGCTTTCCTCAGTGTTTTGGCCCCACTGCACAAGGTGCGCAAGAGATGTGCCTGCTTAGGGAAACATGTCGTTGTTGAAGGAAAGTTCACGAAGAGCAGTGCCATTTACACGGATCTGTTAGCAGTCGCGCTTGCAGAGCTACTGATCGATGCAATGCTCCATCAACGCTCAAGGGCAGAAGAGTTCGATAGCATCAAAGTGGCAGGCCTAGAAAATGTGCTTGTCAATGCCGTTGCACAGGAGTCTTCCTGGAAGGTCGACAAAGTGTGGACTTTTAAAAAGCCTTCGCACATAAATATCCAAGAGTCCATATCAGTGCTGAAGTTGGCCGAGAGCTTAGCCAAAGAAAAGAAACCCATTCGAGTCGTGAACCTAGTGGACTCGAACGTGGTAAGGTGCGCCTTGTCAAAGGGCAGATCGTCTTCCCGGGGCCTCACGCCTGTCATCTCGAAATTCGGCTCGATTCTGTTTCTGCAGGGTTGTACTTTTGCCTGCCCTTTTGTCCGACCCGCTTGAACGCATCGGACGACCCAACACGAGACGTTAGGGTCAGAGAGCCCGTGAGCAGACAGATTTGTTCGGGCCTTAGCATCAGCGACCTGCAGCTGGTGGCACAGAGCAAGGGCCTTAGGAGATGGGCCGCGAACTGGGTCAGGCTCATGTGCCTGTTGATAGGCAAGGAGGTCTTTTCATTCGGTGACAAAAGTGTGTTTAGGCGACCCTTCTCCGCTTTAGTGCCTGCGAAGAGACCGGGCCTCGAGCACGTGTTGGATTTTGACCAGACCTTAGGATACCCTGGAGAAGGACCTTTTGCTCTTCTCTTCCTATGCTGCTTTCCTCATCTCTTCTCCTCGATCGGGCCGGGCAATGCCGTGCATTCGTGGACTTTTGCAGCCATTTTTCTAGTTAAAGCCATGGCTACCCCGCTGCAGCCCCGAAACCCTGGTGATCTGTCGAGAGCAAAGATTAGAGCCCACAGGGGACCTTTGCCGCAGGGACGACCTGTTTTGGGTACCACGGAGAAGCAGAGGACAAAACTTTTGGAAGAGTTCAGGGTCTGGCTGAGTTCCAAAGGGGTTCAGGCCTCTGATCTGTTTGCAAATGCATACCACAACATAGAGGAGATCAACACATTTTTGTCCATGTACGGGCGCGACCTTTACAAGACTGGGAGGCCACTGGCCCACTACAGCGAGACAATTAACGCTCTGGGGAGCTGGAAGCCTCAGCTGAGGCGCACCCTACAGGGTGCGTGGGATGTGGCCTACGCCTGGGTCAAAACTGAACCTGCAGTTCACCATACGGCGATGCCGCCACAAGTCCTTCTCGCAGTTATCACATGCTGCCTGACATGGGGATGGGTGAGGGCAGCAGGCTGTTTTGCACTAGCCTGGGGAGGGCTCCTCCGCGCAGGAGAGCTCCTCCAGGCTTGCCGTCAGGACCTTCAGTTGCCTTCTGACCTTGGCGGAACTACGCCCTTCCTACTCTTGTCGATCCCAGAACCGAAGACTCGTTTTAGCACAGCGAGGCACCAAGCCTCCAAGGTTGACCTCCCGGACTTGATCGATGTGTGCGAACTAGCTTTCAGCACGTTAAAGCCGTCGGAAAAGCTATGGGACATGAGTCCACAGACGCTGAGGAGTCGCTTCAAAGCAGTATGTGGTGCCCTGTCGCTGCCGACTGGTTTCCTGGATGGAATGCGGCCTCTGGATCTCGCCTCGCTGAGGCCAGGCGGGGCCACGTATCTGTTGCAAACTACTGAATCGGGAGACCTCGTTCAGCGGCGAGGTCGGTGGGCATCATACCGCATAATGTCCATCTATATTCAGGAGGTTGCTTCAGTATCCTTTCTAGCAAGACTGGAGAAGAGCCGCAGAGAAAACATTCTGGCAGTGGCAGCTTGTTTCGTGCACACTTTAAAGTTGGCCAAAAGTTTCAAGAATGCTTCAGTTCCTACAGCAGTGTGGTACTTGTTGTTTTCCTCCCACCGGAAAGAAGCTTGCAAGTGACGGGGAGTACGGGAGTTTGATATCCAGCCTGGCAGATCTGAAGATCAGACACAGGCAGTGTATTCATGCACACGCAGGTGGAAAAGAGGCAAGCACACATCCTGAGCAGATGACAGTATCCGCGACCGATGTGTTTGCCGCTCAAGCTTCACCCTCCCATCTTTTAACCCCCCCATCCGGTGGGAGGAGTTTGATATAGTTGTGAGGGTCAAAACCCTAGCTGTGAGGGTTTAATGAGCCTTTGAGTATATTCAAGACCTTTTCAAGTCTTTTTCTGTATACCCACAGACAGCCTTTCTGGATGATCAGAAGCTTTGGAAACTGACTTTGGAGTCACATCAAACGACGGAGCCGTTCGTTGCTTCGCGATGGAACGAGGCGGAGTTCCAGAGTTCACCACTTAGTCCTTTGGGGGTCCAAGAACACTGATTCTCTGAGAGAGTCCGATGAAACCCACTACTAGACCTCTCCCTCGGAAAAACAGACCTGGACGTGTCCAGCGATCGACGCGGGGTGCAACACCACGGTCCCATGAGAGAGATCACAAAGACCCTGCCACTGCACCGACCAGTGCCTTCCGTTGGTGGCCCATTTGGATGTTCACAAAGTGCATAAGCACAAGCATTATATATAGAATGCTCAAGCGTGGGCGGGGCATTTTTTGCTTCGGGTGGTTCTTTTTAGTATTTCAGATCTTCTGAATCCACTCCCGATATCGATCACCAACTGGCTACGAGAAAGCAACTTTCTGTCACCACTGGTCCGCGATTGTCGTCGCGAGGCATAGCTCCTTGTCGGAAGAGGCCACCTATCTCTGTGACAGCATCAAACCACAAATGGCGGCCTTGAGGGCTGCTGTGGACAAGGCGGAGGGCGCCTCTTGGCGGACGTTGTTGGCTGGACCAGGGGGGTAGACGGGTTGCTGCTATGGAGTCAGCGCCGGCGGGTGGCGGGTAGACGGATGGGCTGAAGAAGGACGTGGGGGGGGGGACTTCGCTGACATAGCTAATCCCCAAGCAGTGAGAGGAACGTAATGTTCATCTAATTGATTCTTCACTCACGAGTGCTATGTGGGAGGACAACAAGTCTACTCTTCCAAGCACAATTCTTCTAATACTACTCGTCCGAGCCTGACAGTCTTCCACTGCGGGAACAAAACCAGGTTCTCTTCTCAGCGGTTCTTCCATGAACTCGTAACCGCTGAGTGATCTCGGGACATGGCGAAGCGGGGAGTGCGTTCGACCACCCTCCCCGCTCCTCAGAAGTGCACCCCTTACAGGTGTTTCAAGCAACAGATTGAAGGAAAGCCAACAAGAAATGCAATCCTGAGAAGAGTGGCCACGCCTTATGATTGATATTGATATATGTAATTACATTGACAGTTGATTCAGTTGATACATCATTTTTGTAGCAACTCTGAAGGTTTTTGGAGGCCGAACGAGTCTCATCTCAGGTCATGGAATCCAGCCTCTACCCCTACCCCACTTACGAGCAGATGATCTACCACCATCACTTCTGAGAGAAGCATAGGATGCGCGCCTATGCGCGCAAACAGCATTGGATGTTTTTTCCCGCATATGGCTCGGAGAATCCTGTAGACTCCGGTATAGAAGGCCAAGAGCCAGGTTGAGTTGATGTTGCAAGATTTTCGAGGCATGCTCACTTTTCCGCATGGAAAGACACCTTTTCCTAGTAGCAGGCAGCACGCAAGATGGAGAGCAAAGGACCATGCAAAACAAGACTCCCGAAATGATTGCCATCTCTCGTTTTTTTTGCCATTCACCAACGTCTGTGAGCATAGTATGGCATGACATGGTCAGCTTTGCATGGAACATCCTTCTTTGGAGACAGGCAAGGCAGGCTTTGAAAGCATCTACCCAAGATCGATTCCGAAACAGTACAGGCCTACAGGTCATATTCCCCATGCGGTTGATATTCAATTCTGGCATCATTCAGAGCTATGAGTCACATCGCTATATAAATATGAGAGATGAGTCACATCACCAATCCAGAGCCACAGTCCAAGAATGGGTTGCCCCAATCAGTCCGAACCTGTCTGTGGTGAACAGTCCGGCGTCAGTTCTGCCCGCTGTGTTTTTGGCGCCGCCGGGGTCTCGTCGGATCACCTGAGTCGCTCAGATCGTTTAGATGTCTCGGGTTCCGTCAGGAAGGACCGTTCGCAGCTCCGCTTTTCTGGGGAGCTTGAGGGGAGAATGCCATCCCAATGCTTTGGGACCATCAACAATCTCTAGAAGTCAAAAATGGTGCCAGACCTTTGACCAAGTGTTCAGCACAGGTCCGAGGTCGGACGAGATTGTTGTGGTGCGGGTGATGACTTTGCAAATTAGGCGGTATAGGTTCCTTCCATCAGCCTAGTCAGA